GGGGGGTTTCAACGGCCTTTAATATTTATATTATTAAAATTTAAATATTATTATAATATTTATTGCTATTTAAAGAAACCATAAAAAGACAAAAAAACATTTAATATTTCTTACGCACCATTTCATCGAATGTATTTGCTATTGCATCTGTTTTGCGTTCACAAATTTATATTTATAAATTTATATTTCGTAAGCGCGATTTTATTTGCATATAGAGAAAAGTATTAAAATTTCTCATTAGTCTACGTATGCAACTCTTTCGATACCGTTACATACTAAAAATAGAGAATGTTAGAATATGAGCTAGAGTGAACGTCTTTTTGTTTGCTGTGGCACCAGGAATCTCGATCTTCTTGATTGGATTTTTTTTATCTACCGTAAATCTTGTATGACGATCATCATGTGTTATGTAGTACCTACCAATTATTGCGTAAGACAAGGGAATCTATGACAGGGAATGTGTAATAATCAAGAGTATTAAGAGGGAAAAAATATGTTCAGATATGATTTAGTGTAAAACAATAAGTTACACAATGATCAATGATGTTACTTAGAATATTTTTGAGTTCGCACCAGTATTTTTTATAGTGAAATTTTTCGATCGATTTTTAGAATGAATATTTTTTAAAATAGAAAATGAAGGAAGAAACTTTGATGCCTGTAATCTTTAAATTACTTGAACTTTGTATGATTTGAGTTAAACAAAAATTAAATTCTCATTGTCCAATCAATTTTATTCTGTGACATATATGCGTAAATTTAAAAGCAGACCGAATAATAAGTATATCAATTACCATGGAATAAAAATTAATCAAGCAACGTGTAATAATTAAAAATATAGATTATGGAAGGGAAGGGAAAAATATTTGTACACACGAAATATACAATATGTAATAATCTAATAATAAATTATAAATACATGAATGCATATTACAACTATAAATACAAACGGTGACATAAAAATACGGAAATGTCCATTTATATCGCGCGCATACAGTTTTGTCTACATTCAAAATTGTCATTTTTCTCTTTTCAAACCGGGCGATCGTCGATATTTAGCTCAAGACAGTTTATGATCGCGTTTTACGACATAATTATAAATTAATGTGTTACGTCACTCCTGCATAATCCATCGTAGAAATGCTACTTCTGAATTTAAGTTGTACTCGATCAGGTTCCGTGTGTAAAGTCAGATCGCTTGTGTGAAACGCCCACAGCCCCGTTCGCTATCTCTGACTTTCGGCTGCTGCGCGCATCTCGTCATCTACGACGAGATGATGAGCGGGCAGGCGAGAAGCGAGAGATGCCCAGGTGAGGGAGGGGAATCCGTAAACCGATGGGGTAACGGTACATTACGGGACTCTCATCGGAATTCACGCTACGTTCTATTCTCATACGTACGTACGTACATATGTACATCCGTCACGATGCAGGTTTTGTTACGAGGTCCGGTTTCTTCGAGGAGCCAGTGCAAATGGGGCAATAGCGTCTTTCGCATCGGGGGAGATTCGCATGTAACACAAGCGAGACAGGAAGTAGTACGCTGATCTTGACCCTCTCTTTCTCTCTCTGTCTCTCTCTCTCTC